TGAGTTCTGTGAGCTGAAGTTAATTGCAATACTGGTAGCCAAAGCTATTGCCCCAATAGGGAATGCACATAGGGAGAAATCCAAATCACACTCAGACTGTGGAAAGGATATCTCTGTTGCACTAAAACCAACAAGCTGCCCCAGGAAAATGCAGGCAGTGTGTTGATTTATCTTCCCACCTGTTGTCTATAGATTTCAGCCAATTTCTACCCAGTGGTTACTTTTAATCTATTCCCTGTATGGAAGGATTTTTGTCAAGGAAGCCAGACCAGTCACTGATTTTTCAGTGGCTTATTTTGTATTATTAAATCTTGTGCAGAGTTAAATACAGGAGCCCTTGCTACAAGGGAAGGTAATAGTTTTACAGACCTGGTCTGTAGAGAACTTAGTGGAGATGGCTTTCAATAAAAAGCATCTGGAAGGATGCCAACATTTAATTGAAAGGCCACCCCATGGAGCAAGGTGAATGCTGTAACAGGAGGGTGTGGATTGAGCCCTGCACTGGCCAGTGTGGCCATCAATGTCTCATCCTGTGACAGCAGTTTTCTGGCCCAAACAGGTACCTGCCCCAGCAAGGCTTTCCTGGCTCCTGCTGGGAATATTTTATGGAATGCTGTGAGGGGCTTCCCAGCTGCGTGCCTGCAGGCAGGCCTGCACTTGTAAGGGCTCCACGTGTCCAAAATGTCATGGCTGGTGCCCTGCTGCTCTTTATGTTCAAGAGGAGCTTACAGGACCTGCCAGCAGCACCTTGGGGACGCATCAGAGTAACCCAAGTAACATCTGTGCAACCCTGAGCACCCCAGCTCTGCTGGAAAACCACGAGAACCAGGAAAACTGTGCTGCCTAGGTAGAGCTGGGAAGGTGATGGGAGTTCCCTAAGCAGCCTTTCATTGAGAAAATGGTTAAACAAGCTTCTACTGCCTGTGTTTCTAGGTAAGTGCTTTGGTTTGGCGTTGATTTAGGAGTCACAGCAGTGCTGATCCCTTTCCTTATCTGGTGTGGTAGGCATGAGCTCTGTAACTGGCTTCTATGGTCAAGGGTGGGCACATGTTGGTGGCAGTAGCTCCCCTGGGAAAGAAACTGGAGCCTGGATCTAGGAGTATTGTGGAGCTTGGCAGGCAGCTGTTTGTCCCATGCAATGCAGGGCCTCGTGTTCCATTCCCAGCATGTTTCTGCTGGGGAGGTGACACCACCTGGTGCCAGCCTGCAGAGCTGCCTCCTTCTCTCCCTGGACACAGGCACCTGCTGAGAGCCTGTGCTGGCAGTGCTCTGAAGCTGGGACAGGGAAATTCAGGCATCAAGGACTTGAGTTTCTCTTAGCAGTGCACCCATGGCTGGGCGGCAAGGCTGCACACAGAGTATGGGTTTATGTGTGCTGAGTGCCTTCAGGAAATCCTGACCAGATATGGCAGCTGGGAGATGAGCAAGCAAGTACTCCTCTGCTCTGCACCTGGCCTGGCACTTTGTAGAAGGTCATAAGGTCACCAGCAAATGAGAGACAACTGTCTCCTAATCCCAGATATAAAATCATGCCAAGGGGTGGGGAGAAAGGGGAAGGGGTGGAAGACTTCATGACTCCTTATTGCAGCTGTAAAAGATTTAAAAAAACAAAAACAAAACAAAACCCAAACAACCAAACATAAAAGCCCACTAACAAAAACAAAACAAAACAAACAAAACAACAAAAAAACCCCGAACAAAAACCCCATAACAAAACATCAACAACAACAACAACAGAAAAAAACCCTCAACTCTTAAGCCCTCTCACCACAGTAACAGGTATTTCCCTTTTGTGGTGGCCTGGTAGATTTAGGGGTTTTCTGGAACACATTATTGGAAAGGGCTCCTTTACAGGCTACATCCTTAACTGCTAGAAAAAACAATCAGTGTAGCAGCAACTTAAATAACAGTGAGGCATAAAATCAGAAACAGACACTCACGCTTGCTATAAAAACAGGCAATGAAGAAGCTCTGAAAACTATTGCTGTTTCTAGAGAATTTTTGTGAGCATAAACACCCAAGCTGAAGTGGAAGTGACCATGCAGAATCTTCAGCCATGAGAGGGCAGGTCCACATGAGAGAAACAAAACCTGCGCTCATCATCAGCTGGGTCCTGGGGAGCTGCTCTGTGAGCAAAGACAGAATTGTGGGCAGTTTTGCTACATTTTCATGGTCTTTGATTTATGTTGGATAGAGCAATGCATTGCCATTTGCTTGCCAGCTTGTTATGACTTCTACCTGCATTTTCACAATCCTTCTGTAAGGTTTGGCATCTCTTTTTGCTCCGATAATAGATATTGGGACAATCTGGAAACTTGTCTTTAAATGTCCAACTGGGTCTCCAGGACTGGTGAAATGTGACTGGCACTTCCTAGCATGAAGCAAACGCATTAGCAAGCAGAAACAAAATGTCATACTCGGATATCTGTGGATTTCTTGGAGAGGAATCCAAGGTCTAGGCTGTTTGCTGGCAAAACTCAGCTAGAAAATTGGGATTGGAGGCAATTGTACCATTTCAGTGGCTCCAAAGTTATGTCACATTTCTTTACTGCCATACAGCTGCTGTAGGGCTGGTGGTGCTTTCAGAGATGTTTTTACCTTGCAGGCAGCCACAGACTGCATTTGGCAGAATCAGTCTCCGATAATGTTTAAGCACAGACCACAGCATGTGGCAAAAGAACTGTTTGCAACTGCCTGAAGAAAGCCATTAAAATAAGCAGCTGTTTATTCTGATGCCTAATGAGACAGCGGTTAGAGTGTTGCAATTTTGCACTTACTGAAACATTTAAGCGCTCTTCAAGGCAAATGACAGCAAACTGGGGTAATGTAAGTCTTGTGTTTATTTAGAGCTTGCCTTCAGGTGCCTCCTAAGAGCTTGTGCAGCTCAGAAGAGTGCGACTGCCCCAGAGGGAGAACAAGTGGAACCACCCTGCAGTAAAGCCCGGGGGGCATTTCTGTCAGGTACTGCAACAACAGCTGTTGTTCTAAACATCAGGTTTTGCTGCTGTTAACCTGGAACTCCTCGGTTTTTGGATTATTTTGACCAAAAAATTGATGCGTGGAGGTAGAGATACTTGCTTAAAAAAAAAAAAAACCAAAGTTCTTGGGTTTGGGGGATGAGAGTTGGGTAGAAGATGATTGCAATTAGTTCAGTGGAATTCATAATAATGAAAGATGGTGCTCTAGAACAGACCTGCTCAGACTCACCTATTGGAGGGTGGGGTATTTTTTTTTGTTTTGTGTATTTTTTTGGGGGGGGTTGTTTGTTTGTTTGATTGTTTGTTTAGGGGTTGGGGGCTTTCTCTGTTGTTTTTGGGGGTGTTGTTTTGTTTTGGTGGATTTTTTTCTAATTTACTAAAGGACTAATATTTTAGGAAGCATGCTAGAGTTAATTGCTTGTTAGAAACTTAAGGTCAGTGGCCCCTGTTATGGTTTAACTGGCAGTGGTTTAAACAGATCCTAGCAAAATGAAGCAGTGCTTTAATTGTGGCTGACGCTTTTAAGTTTAAATGAAGCTTTGTTTCCTAAGGTCATTATGGTACCAAGTGCAATTTCTCTTCTAAGGAAGCTGGGTCCAGGGATATTTTAGATTACCCTGAAAAGATTCTCATTTAGACTACAGGAATAAAAACACATATCTGCCAAAGGGTTTGCCCCAGGCCATCTGAATTTAGCTTCATTATTTTAGCAGAGCCAGCTTCCTTAAGGAAATGTGATTCATGACGGAGAGTTTCATTGGAGGATATTTGCAGCTAACATAAAAGCTGCTTATGTACACATGTACATATAATTTGCAGAATACCCAAATAAATCCTGATATGAGTTTACAGCACTTGGAATAAATGCAGTGATGCCAAACTCCTGAGGGAAGAAGGGGACTTGAATACTTCATCAGTGTGTGAAGTGGGTCTGCAGCATCTGTGCATCATGGGCCTCCTTAAAGAAATTGATGTGGTGTCATCCATGTCATAAGTAATGGTCAAAATTTTAGGACTTAATATGCAGGGATTTGAAATCTTCAAAAACTCAGACAGTGATGACAGAACAGTGTTCCTGCCTATATCAGCTCATCTCTAAATTCAACATGTCACAAGAAGGTGTGCAGAAACATCTCAACAAAAATTTCCCAAAGCAGTCCGAGTAAAAGTGTGCTTCATTTCAGATGTGCACCAGCCTCGTTCTGCTGGCCTCTGTAGCGGGTTGGACAGCAGCTAACATTCCTTCTGGGAACGTGCTGACACCTGCTCAGGATGAAGCTGATACACCTCACTTACTGCCTGAAGTAAAAAATACTACACAGAGTAATTACCCCAACAAGTGTGTCAGAAATAGATACTTGGAAATAATACTGTCATGCCAGTATTTCATTACTTTGAACATTCTGTCACTCCCCCCAGAGCTCTCCTAGCAAGGTAGGCCAGCCCAGGCCCTGCAGTGATCGTGTTTAGCAGCAGCATAAGGAGAAGTGACAGCCACCGTTCCCTCCCACGTTATTCAGTGCAGCAACACACCCAAACTGAGCTGGAATACATACACACATTCACTGGATGATGTCTGTATCGCATTAACAAGCTTTGACACTAATGCTAATGCTTCACTAGAAGAAACATGACAAGTGGGCTGGTTCGGTGTGCATTCAGCACTGAAAGATTTCTAGCACACACAGTGAGACTTCTGTTGCTGCCTGTCAGCTTTGGCTGTCTCAAATCTTTGCTCAGTCATAGGGGAGGTGCAGTCAGCAGTGCTGCCTTCCCTCCCTTGGCTGCACGGGGGTCCTGGTGCAGAGACCGATGATTTGTGTACAGGCACGGACATTTAATCCTCAGGACTGTTTCCTTCGGGGTCTCCCTCGGCAGACGCTGCAGAGGAGAGCAGAAACGGGGGCTGTGGCTTTGCCGAGCGGTCGAACGACGCAACAAAGCCAACACTCCTGACGCTGCAGAGCTTGCAGAGAGTTTGGAGCGAGGGAAGTCGTTGCCGACTCGTACATGGCAACCCGACCTAATCGCCGCAGCTCAGCATCACCGAGATGAAGCGGAGAGAGCATCGGTTTTAACAGCACTAAAGCCGCCTGAGCCGGGGTGTCTCGGAGCGGCGGCACCGCGGGCGGGAGGGCGCGCCCAAGGCGGACGGGCCCCTCCCACCGGGAGCAGGTGCTCGGCAGCGAGCCGGCAGGGATGGACGGGAGCCGGGAGCGAAGGAAGGGAGGCGGCAGCGAAGGAAAGGAGCCTGGAGCGAAGGAAGGAAGGGAGAGAGCCGGCAGCGGACACGCGTCCTTGGGCGGCGAAGCGGGGCTGCGCGGGACAGGGACCGCTCGGGTCAGACAGCGGCTCCCCGGGCGCGGCGTGGCCAGAGGGACGGTCCTGCCGCGCTTCGGGGACTGAAATAAAGCTCAGGCTCGTGTCAGCCAGGGAGCCCTCGGTCACAGGCACCTTTGCGTTTGCAGAGCTTGGGGGAGCTGATGCAGACCTGGCTGACAGCTGACGGCACGCCCGGCTAGAAGATGCTTCTCAGCTCTCCGACAGGCTGGGAGAGGGGGAAACAGACACCGCACACGGCCACTGGGCCCTGGCAGCTCCTTCCCAGCCTGCGCTTTCTGACTGCCAGAGATTTTAGGGACTGCCTGTCTCAGAGAATGGCCAGAGAAACAGAGGTTTCCTGTGACTGGGTGCAACACACCACCTCGGCAAGATGGTAAAATCACCCCGGTTTCAGGTAACCATGTCCATATTGAGGTTTTTTTAACGCCAACGGCGCTTCTTGCCAACAAGTTCTTAATATCTCCCAGCACCATATCCATCAGCCCAAACTGGTCCACAGCTACAGCTGTCATTAGAGAGGTGAATTTCTGCTTTGTAGTGCCCTGCAATGAGCGCTGCAGTGAGGAGGGTGATGCTCCAGCTGATGCTCAGGCATAGGCCTCCTTACCCGTGGCAGGGATGTGGCCCCGCTTCCAGCTGGACTTTGGGGCTGAGCCAGACAGAACCACCCAGGTCTCAGCTACACGGAATACTAAATGTGCACAGGTGGAATTAAAGCACTTGCACCCTCCAGGACTAAGTGGCTGTCCCTCAATCACATGACTGAGGGCCAGAATTGTGATATGTTCTCTTCCCAGGCCAGAATTGTGATATGTTCTTGGCCAGGGCTGGAATTGTGATATGTTCTCTCCTGTTTCTGATTTCTTTGCAGGCTGTGGAGATGCACATACAGCCCTGGCACAGCCACGCCGAGTTCCTTTCTGCTGTGCCGGCTGGAAAGCTGTCCGACAGAGCCACGGGTGCTCCGGCAGCTGGTGAGTGGCTTCCTGGAGATGTGCAGGGCACACAGTCCTTCACACAGGACTTTTTCCCTTGGGCTCCGAGCTTCCACTCTCAGTTGTTGCAGTGAGCCGTAGGCAGCTGCTGTGGACAGCAGGGCTTTGTCAGCCACATTTCTTCCTCTGTCTGTGACACTGCCACTGCCAGGACAAACCCATGACCGAGGCAGGAGCTGACCCACACAGACTTCCCACTTGCTCCCCATTTCCTGGGTGGGTGCCCACTCCTCCATATCTCCTGGAGGAACAGATTGCGATGGATTAGCTCCATTTTTTCCAGAGAACCTTTGATCCTCCAGGAGGAAAGTTTTGCCCAGCTCATAATTGTGGCCTGGTGGGGCCGGGCTTCCCACGTCTCCGCAATGCCAGGTGCCCTGCCTGCCCCTCTGTCCTGGTGCCCGCCGCAGAAGGCTCCTTGCAGGCAGCCCTGGCACACTGCCCTCCCTGTGAAGCTGGCACAGCCCAGGGCACTGTGATGAGGGAAACTCAGACCTGCCAGTCTGGTCTGTGCCTGCCGGGACATTTGGGTTTTCCTCCAGCCTTTTTTTATTTTGGTTTGGGTTTGTCTGTTTGCTTGTATTTCTAGGTTTGTTAGTGTTAGCTTGGTGATTGCTTTAGCTCCTGTTGCAGTTTCTGCAGTGCAGGTCCCTAGGGGATCCCCACTCTGGGAGTTTAAGGGATGAGGTCCATCCCTGTGTCCCCAGATGTGCTGTGATCAAGCTCCCTCACCCCTGGGGCGTGACGGTGAGGCTTTACCTGGGGTAACTCTTGTCCCCACAAGATGTAACCACCCCGCTGTGACGGTTCTTGCTCCCAGCACCCGATGACCGTCTCATAGGGAGACTTGTTCCCGAGGCTTTTTCCAAGGCTTGTGCCCGGCTGATGCTCCATTCCCGGAGCAGCAGGGAAGAGCAGTGATGCCTCTCATAAGGAATCGTGAGTGAACCGAGCACAGCAGAGCCGAACTGAGCTTGGCCGAACCGAGCTTGGCCGAACCCGGCAAGTGGCACTGAGTTCG